GCACGACGTGCCAAAACAGCGCTGCGAATGAATCGAAGGAAGCCATGACCGAAACGCCAAATGCTCAGCCTACTCCTTGCTTGATGAGAAGGATACATGAAAAGAATAAGAAGTGAAAAACCAGTAATTGAAGTGAGGAACCCTCCTGAATGAACTCAAATAACGCCCCATGCAAATGCGTCGTCAAGCGCCTTCAGAGACCCAATGTTCTTACCGCTTGTGTTTTGTCTTCCCCTTTACTATCTGCTTTTCAAGCGTCATGTTCGCATGACTGCGTCGCCATCGGCGTCCCTACCAGCAATGTTGTTTTCCTGAGGCGCGTCATTATCTGGGATGATCTCCACGACCGATTTTCGGCTCGCTGACCGCGATAGTTTCCCTCTGTTCTCGGCTCCCCTTCCCTTGGGTGTAATTGGGCCGTCGGTAAGAGAGACATCGGCATTTGACCTGGCTACAACGGTGCCCGAACTACGAGTCCCATTGATAGGGTGATTTGGGGTGCCTACTTCCGGCTCGGACGGTGCAGCATCCTGGGGCTCTGTATCTTGTGCTTCTTCGGATCCATCCTGCAAATGCTGCTCCCCATTTACAAGTCCATAGATCTTCGCGCTGGACGGCTCTGGAGCAGGGGAGTCCATCAGCTTGGCGCTCCGGCCCCGTCGAACACTACCTGGATTCGAAGTAGGCGTCGCCGAGACCAACATTGAGGTTCTGCGGGGAGTACCGCGACCACTCGTCCGGGCACTTGTAGGGGTCCCGCCCACCTTAAACCCGCTCTTACTGCCAAAGGGTCGTCCCGGCTTTCGTTTGAATACAGGAGCTTGAACAGGAGGATAAATCTCGAATCTAGAAGGAGGAATGTCCGCGGCGAGGTTGGAGGGAGCAGAGGTACTCGAACTCGCTGTAGCAGTCGTTTGGTGATGGAAACCGCTGGTGTTAGAGAGCGCTTGGGTTGAAGGGGGCCCAGCGGCCACAGTCGAACGACCCCCAGAGTCGGCGTGTCCCGTCCAGCTGGCCGTTGGAACGACTGCACCATCGGCCTTCTTGCCTTCTTCCCCCTCCTCCTCTTCCGGGTCTTCCCTCTGTGCAACGGTATGCAATGGAGCCCGGTCAAATTGTGACTGATTGCTACGACCCATGATGTATGGTGTCCAGACCAAAGCATCAGGGTTCAGCTGAACGTAGCCTTTCTCCTCCCAGTTCCGGACACACTCTTCAAAAAACTTGCAGTCGAGTCGCAAAGCGTAGGTTTTGGTAATTGGATCCCTGACTAGGGCGCGTAACCCTTCTAAACCAGAGACCACATCATCGGCCGTCATGCCTGTGCGCTCTGAAAGCTCCGCGATGCTGATGGGAGTTTTTTGGTTTCGTAATTGATACGAGAGTATCAATCGCCAGTAGTTGCGATAGGACACCAGGCCCATGTCGGAGAGAGGTTTCTCTGGTGAGCCGGTCTTACCTTCAATACGAGTGAGCAGGTATGAGAAGTCGATAAGCAAATTCCCGTAGCCTTTTCTTTGATGGATGGGCAGTGTGAGAATGCACGAAACATTGTTTGCCGAACTGGGCCGTTTCTCCTTGCTGAAATAGCCGACAAAGTGGCAGCCCAGATCGTCGAATTCGGTCATGACATAAAACAGGAACGGCTCCACGTCGTAGTAAAGCGTTTTGGATCCCAAGAACAATTTGGCGAGCAAGCAAAGATTCTGGCAATAGACCGGGTTCTTTCGCCCGTCGACCTCGAATATTGAGATGGAACCATCTCGGTAGATTTCATCTCCCGGGGGATGTTTTGCCGGGCATTTCAGCTTGTGCCGCCAGGCCACATAGTCTGAATTCATATATTTCAAGCAAAACTCGCAGATGTAGAGCACCCGGTTGCGACTATATTCTTCGGGATAAGGAGCTGCATACCAGGTCTCAATCTCGTATCCTCCAAAGTTAATGGATTTAATCCTGGATGGAGGACCCGAAAGCTTCTGGGAAGCGTGCGGGACGGCTTCTCCGCTGTTTTCAGCTTCCAAAAGCTTCCTTTGCCATTCCTCTTCGGCCTTTTGTCGCGCGATCTCGAACCTTTCGCGATCTGCGTGTGTTGGCAGGGTTCTTGAGGTGTCCGCATCCGCTTCCGACAGAATACCGCCGTATGGCTTTGATTTTGATTCGTCTGTTTCGCGGTCGTTGAATGAGTAGAAGGGGGATATGTAGGGTGCAGGTGTAATGGGAGCAAAATGGGATAGAGGTTCTTGGACCGCTGGTGGCGGCTTGGGCGTTCTTCTGCCTCTGAGTTGTGACCGGCTCCGAGAGTTGAGAATTTTGGACACTTTGTTTTCGTTGAGACGAAAAGCGAGGACTAGTCTCCCAAATTGCCTCAAAACAACGCGGCAGGTATCCTTTTCCTCGACGCGCGTTCGCCGAGAACGGGTACGCACCGGGGACTGACCGTCTGTATTTCCAAAACCCTGGTCTCGGGACTCAGCCCGAGCGGATCGCATTGATGATTGCCGTCGCAGTTTTCGAAGTCCAGATGTGGGTTCTCCCACGTCGGTCGACGAGGCTTTCCTTTTCCGCAATGATCTGGAGCTGGTCAAGAGCTCATCGCTGACGTCCACGGTGCTGAAAATCGAGTGAAAACCAGAATCTTTCTCTCCAGAGTGCGCCGGTAAAAGTTCTCTGCGCATCTTCTTTTGACGAGGTTGTCGCAGGGTTGTACCATTCTGCTCAGTACTAGGCTGCAATTTCTCCCGAACGCAGGTAGGGCATCTCCATGGACCAGCGTCTGTTCAATGTCAGTCCCGGGGCAAGGCGCGACGAAACCAGGTAGAGAAGACGAATCAATTTGAACATACCTTCAGTCTCATCAAGTGCATTCTGTTCGCGCGCACATTGTCGATGAGCTGTAGAGAGTTATATCAGCGACAATTCTTCAAAATTGGCTCAAAAGGTGCAACGTACAATGGTCACCACAGACGGTGCAGGTTAAATACTCTTCAAACTCCTCGCTGGGATCATTATCCTCGTCTTGACCGCAAAAGCTACATTTCCCGTCTCAGGATCAGACCAGATCACGAGAGAGTGGACATGGGAAGAATAATGAACTCACATGCAATTGCCGCGGACAGTGGTATCCACCTCCGCATCCTCCCGGCTATTACTCTCTGCCTCCCACTCCTCATCGGCCTCCGATTCTGAACTGCTTGAAGAGGCAGCGGGTGCATCGCTGTCACTTGGATTCTCAAACGCTGGATCATCTTCTGCATCGGCAGCCGCAGAAGCAGCATCATCGTTGTCAAGAGAGCCAGCTGCGTCAGGCATCTTGACAGCACCAACCGGTTCTGTATCATCATTCTCCCCGTTGATATTCAGCTCCGTATCCGGCTCCCCCTCTGCATCTTCGTCTTCGTCGTAATCGGCATCCTGATCCCCCACGGCGGTCTCCCCAGAGTATGCCCGATGAACTGCATTCTGTAGCTGCTGGTCCATCTCATAGAGGTCGGTCTCCTCCTCCCCTTCTGCGTCCTGATCACTGTCCACCATATCGGCTGGCGGTCTAGTCTCTGGATCGTCGATGGCCGGCAGCACGGTCGCCGGCATGGTGTAGGTCGCCGTAGTCGCCAGATTGAGTGAGTGTGTTTCACGGATCTACCAAGGTTTCGCGATGTTTGAATGAGAAGTTGAGGCTATAGAAGCTTCCCGCTTGGGCGAACAATCATCTGGCCGCGCATGAACGGGACATGGGGACAAAGCGGCGAGCTGATCTGAAGGCAGTATTCCAACAATTCAGCGTGCCAATCGGTCAAGTCGTAGCATACGTCGTAATCAAGCGTTGGAGACGAATGCGCGAGCAAGACAAGCGCGGAGGGTTGCCAAAGTCGGAGGCGCAGGAAGGAGGCGGCCAAGACAACAAGCAAACAACGCGTGTAATGAAGGAACTGGAGCCGTGATCAGAGGCGCTAGTAGTTATGCGAGAGTAGAGCAATGACCAACGCGTAGATTCGCAGCGCAAACGCCGTTTGTGGAGCTATTCAGCTTCCAAAGCCATCTGCCGCCGCTTCACACCCCTTCTCTTGCAGTGAGGTTCACGAAGTTGCTGACTCATCCAGATTGACCCCCGGCCGGACTAAACCGATTTAGGAAGTCCTCCAGACCTCACGTCGTCGGCGGAATCAGCGGGCACAAGAAACGACGCTGGGAAACATTCTGGTCTGCTTTTTTCGCAATTAAAGCTGTCCGTTGACACCTGTCTCAATCTCTCTGAGAACTTTTCTGATCGTGCAGCGAATTGAGGATTTGTATCTCGCAAAATGGGTGTCCCTTTCGAAGCCCTTATCCCCTACGGGATCATCGTCGCTGTGTGTATCCGCAACACCGAGCAGGCCAGCACGAATTACTGATGGATCGTGACAGATGTTCGGCGTGACCGGTGTCGGCCTCACTGCTGCTAAGTACTTTGGAAACGAAGGGAAAAAGGCGCGGTGGAACAAGGATCTCTGGGATAGAGTAAGTCCTTCTTCACCTGTGGCTTGCAATCGAGTGACCAAGTTGGCTAATATCCATCTAGCAAAGTGCGTGACCTACCCCTTGCAATACTTGCAATATTCCTCCTTGTTTATGCAGCCGAGGGACCGGAAACTGACGATATATATCTGCCATAGTGATGGAAAGGGACTTGAGAATCACAGGAACTTTACGAGGCCAGTCAGGCAATGCCGTAGCGCCAAAGGGATTCGATGTCAGCAACCCATGGAAGGTATGTCATATCGTCGGCTCGATGCGCTTATTCGGTAATGCGGATTGCTCACCTCTCTACAGCTTGAGAAACGGATTTTCTGAGTCACGGCAACGTGTCTCCGCGTCATGTTTTTACACCTTTTGTTTTAGCTTGTGTTTGCTTGCATTTCCTAAATCAATATCCACGCTACGGTCCTAGAGCAACGTCGTTTGTACAATATCAACGGGCAAGCAAAACGCTGCAAAGCTAGTTTTCAATTGTCAAAAGAATTCTATTTTATCTGGGAGCTCAAGCCCTGTATTCCTTCAACTTCATAATCCTGGAAGTGCATATCGAAATACTTCGCCAGCGCTTGTCTCCGATCGTCTTCGTTTGCTAGTGTGGCCACAACTTGTGTCTCCTTACCCAGCCTTTTCTTGACTTCTTTTCCTGACATCACATATAAACCTCGGGGTTCGAGTCCACCCTCACTCAGAATCACCTTGGTACAGACAAACGTCTGGGTAAACCAGCTGTCCGACTTCTGGCTTGTCGCAAAGTTCATCACTGCAAAGTCCTCTGCCAGGAATTCAACTTCCGAAAAGGAGTACGACGGGATCCATTCACTTTCCGGGTCATGCCTGATCTGGTAGATCCAGACCTTCTGGCTCTTGTCGACGAAGTCGGGGATGCTGTCCTTGATCAGGCGCATCTCACCGGGTGCAATGCAGACTGCAACCTCGTTTTCCTTCATTGGCAGCGGACTGGTAGGGCCATTGCTGCCGAACCCAACGTCGACCTTTTGCGAACCGGGTTAGTAACTGCCCGCGATGAGATTCTCAGCAGGATGACACCTTACCATGTACTTCTGGCCATCAATGGTCACGATGAGAACCATGTGTCCACTGCGTCCTGCGTCAGCGAATGCGACTCTATAGATTTTAGGAGATCAAGGTACATACAGCGACTTGTATCCCGCCGCGGCATTGTTCCCAGTGGCTACCGCGCGACTAACTCGGCCTCCCGTGGGATAGACCTGGTACCCCAATGACCGTAAAACGACATAAAGCAGGTTGGTGTTCTCCATGCAGTACCCGTCTAGTTTGCGGGTGACCAACTTTTCAAACACACACGTTGGATGGACGGAGATCGCGCGGACTTGGGAGTAATGCAGACCGGAATTACCCCATGGGATGGCGCCCAGATGCCGCCTCTGCAGCTCGGTCAATGCGGCCAGCGCATCTTTCTCGATGCATTGCTGGAGATGTTGTCGCCTGGTGATTCCAGATGTACTGGCGGAGTCGGCGTACCCGATGCGCTGCAGATAGGCCTCTATCTGATCAGGAGTATATATAGACGGTGGCGATGTCATGATGGAGTGCGATGATCTATGAGACCACGAGGAAGAAAGAGGCCATCTTACTTGCATATATATTCAAAGCCAAGATGGTCTCGTATTCCAGTTATGATTACCAAGCAATAGATCCAGTTTTGGCCCGTGAAGCCGCCAACGTCACCACTCGTGTCGCCGATTAGAGGCGAGCCGATGATGGTCGGCGGAAGATATCTGTTGGACAAGAGAATGAGTGTGTCAAAATAAGGAGTTAGTAGAGTTAGTATGATTCAAGCACTATTTATTTTGACCCTTTCCAGCAAAAATTCGATGCATGTAGAGCAATCACAATGACGGTGCCTCCATGGTTCTGCTTCCCGCGTTTTAACCCCGCGGCAGAATGAGAATCAATGAATGTATCAGGACGGACCATGTAGATTGGTGTTGAATAATCATGAAGATGACAGGTCGGTCCATGGATAGCGTACTCCATATTTGGACGGGAAGCATGTCTCCTAAGGTAGACTTGGATGGTATCATGGATCCAGATTTCTCCACGTCTTTAAAGAGTATGATACTGTCTGTTTATCAGATCCTCGGCTGTCGATGCAGGAATGGGAGACATCTGACGATGAATGGTCGATGTAACTACCTAGTCACTCCTAGTCACGATTACACAGAGGTTTTATTCCAGAGGATCAGAAGAACATACGCAGATAACCATAGAGAGGTATTGTATAAACCAATGCAGTTCAAATAAAGACGTTCTCAGCAAGAAGACTGCTGGTTCGAGGAACGGACAAAGGGACGTGGCATCTACACTGCGCTCAATCTCGGATCTCCGTTTCCATCGCAGCACGATCTCACTCACAGTTTAGAAGACGGTATCTGGCTGACTTTCATGAACTACGTGTCGCGGAACCGTGCTATCCTTGAACTTCTCTCTTCTCATCCTACTTGTCGACCACGACTGATCTTCAACCCATTCCCCGCCCCATCCCCAAGACGCACCATGTCCAGCTCGATCGAACAGAAACTGAACGAACTGCAGAAATACTCTGCATGCGATGTAGGAGCTACAAACCGCGATCATCCCCTTTAGTTCTCTAGGCAGCTTCTCCTCTAACCGAACGAAATTCTAGGTATCGGATGCTCTCCTCAAACTACAGAAACTCCCGGCAGGAACAGCCGCCCGAGCAGGGCACCTGGCCGACTTCAGTAAGGAGACCTCGCTCTGAAGCATCAACGTCCCCTTCTTAAAGCAAAGCAACCCGCTAACAGATCAACCAGCCCCCTTCTCCCCCACCATAGGCCGCAACGCAACACAACCCAAAATCATCGCCCCAGCATCAACCTTCAAGTTCATCTCCAAGGACGAAGAATGCAATGCAAAGCCAGAGGACTCGCACGGCTTCCCAGCAGGCACGCACTGGGTCGACTTCGCCAAGCCAGGCACCATCGCCGTGCTCGAGCAGCCCGCGCACCAGCACTGCGCCGTCCTCGGCGGGATCATGGCCGTGCGGATGAAGGTTCTGGGTGTGCGCGGGGTCCTGGTGAACGGGCGCGTACGGGATCTAGCAGAGATCAATGAGTGCAAGCTGCCGGTTTGTGTGATTCCCAATCCCAATCCTGGATCGGGGGCGGTCGGGGCTGATTGATGTAGGTTTGGGCGAAGGGGACGTCGACGGTTGGGTCGGGAGCGGAGGCGAAGCCGGGGGCGAGGGATGTGCCGGTTGATGTGGGGGGCGTGACTGTTTCCCCGGTATGGTTTTCTGTAGGTAGGAACTGAGTGTGGATGGTGATGCTGACGTTGTTTACAGGGCGATATTATTTTTTGTGACCCTCTGGAAGGCGTGGTTGCTATCCCTCACGAACTCCTGGATCAGGTGCTGGAACTCATGCCGAAATTAGGGGCCATGGATGACAAGGTCAAAGACGCCGTGTCTCAGGGGATGAATGCCTTTGATGCGTTCAAGCAGTTCCGTACCAAGATTTGAGAGACTCTAAGGTTGTATATAGACGAGTGATCAATATAAATGGTGGACCATCATGTCATTGGTATTCGAACAAGTATTCAATACAATCAAGAAGGTGGTAACATGATATATGTCATCGCTATACAAAGAAATGCAGAGAAGAAAAGCAATGAAACCAGCTCATTCCTTCTTTTTTGTTTATTCGGCGACCCAGACAGCGGCCATGCCCATACCCGTACCCACACACATGCTGGTGACACCGACCTTCTTGTTGGTGCGCTTCAGCTCTGTCAGAAGGGTGCTGATCTGTCTAGCACCTGTGCAACCAAGAGGGTGGCCAAAGGCGATAGCACCTCCCTTGGGGTTGATCTTTTCCTGAGGCAGGCCAAGCTCGTTGACACACCACACACACTGAGAAGCGAAGGCTTCGTTGATCTCATAGATGTCGACCTCGTCCTTGGTGATGCCGGCCTTTTCAAGGGCGACGGGGATGGCCTTCCAGGGGCCGATACCCATGAGCAGGGGCTTGACACCGACAACGCTGGCGGCAACATACTTGCCGATGATCTTCTGACCGAGGCGCTCAGCGGTGGAACGCTTCATCAGCAGCACGGCGGCAGCACCGTCAGAGATCTGAGAGGCGTTACCGGCGTGGATGGAACCATCCTTGGCGAAAGCAGGACGGATCTTGCCGAGGGACTCGGCGGTGATGCCGTCACGGATGCCATCGTCGGCCTTGACGGTAATGGTCTTCTCCTCGCCGGTTTTGGGATCAGTCCACTTGACTTGGAGAGGAACAATCTCCTCGTTGAAGAGACCGGCCTTCTGAGCCTTGACGGCCTTCTGGTATGAAGAGGCAGCGAAAGCATCTTGGACGGCGCGAGAGATGTTACGGTCCTTAGCCATCTGTTCCGACAAGACACCCATGGGGACCTTGCAGTTGGCGGACTCGGGGTGGCTCTCAAGGAGCTCAGAGAACTCGGTAACGGCACCAGGACTACGTGACGGAAGTTTGTCAGCATTCGGGCTTTTTTGCTGTATTGCAAAAGCATGGTTCGACTTACCCGTACTGAGAGGACATGCTCTCCACACCCGCACCAATACCAACTTCGATCATACCGGACTTGATCGCGTTGGCAATGTCCACAATGGCCTGGAGACCACTGGAGCACTGTCTGTTCAAGCTCTTGACAGCAGTCGACTCGGGGAACCCGGCAACAAGGGCAGCAGCACGGAACTCGGTAGCACCGCCACCAGGGGCAAGGACGGAGCCAACAGCAACATCTTCCACCGCCTTGGGGTCGATGCCACTGCGGTCGATGACGCCCTTGAAGACACCGGCCAACAGATCAGCGGCAGCGGTATCCTTGAAACCACCCTTTCCACCCTTGGTCAGGGCAGTACGCAGGGCACATGTGACAACGATATCATCGGGATGCTTCTCGGTGATGGCGGCGACACCCTTCTTGCCTCCCAACGTGAAGTGGGAGGAGACCTGAGAAAGACGCTGTTGAGCTGTGAACCCCCACGTAGTCAGTATATCTCAGTCAACCGAGGTGGAAGAGTATCCGGCTTACCAGAAGACATGATGACGTCAATATAAACCAAGGGTATATGCAAAGAGACCAAAGGACAACAAAGTAGAGCTCTTCAGAAAGTGTGGGATACGAAAGTGATGCTAAACTGGGGAGTCCCCTTTATAACCCCAGAAAAACCCAACGTGGAGTAATCATCAAGTCTCTCGGTTCTTGTTACCCTTTGCAGTGGTCGTGTATCCAAACCTGTGAAAGTACCGAGGTCCAGCCGCATCAATGTTGTTCCGGCTAAGAAACTAGAGTCACGGGATCTCCGGCGAGGATTGTGTCTCTTGATTTTCATGTGAAGAGCCATCAACCAGCAGATGAGGGTGGCAGAAGACTGCAGATGATCTTCTCTTGCCTAGGCAATAATGAAGAAACTGAGCTATCGTAGGCTTGTCGTCATCTGATCCGAGTTACTCAGCTATTTTGACACTGATTATACATGGTCTTGTGAATGCCGTCTCATATCCGTTGTATACACTACTTTGACAGGAATTGTTATTATATAATCTACTATCTGGATAGTAGTACTGACGAAGTTGGTAGCTTTATTAATATTAATAATTGTGATGGTACCTGAAAATATGATCTTACAATACTTTGAAATTAATATACTTCATCATGTTTGAGGAATTCAACATACAGAGACAAATGATGTTACTGCTGCACTTAGTGTCCCTGTTCAAGCTTCCTCTACTTAGACTCTTTCAAGGATTTATTAAAGAATCATAAATGACAATCAGAATTGACCACTCCATACCTCTCCACTATGTACCTCAAATATCAAGTCTGAGCGGAGAGTCGGCGGCGGAATCCCCGACATCTTTTTCTCTCCGCATCGCATCCAAGGTCAAAAAAGACCTGGCCACCTCCACTAGGTCTCAATAGCTCACCAAATCTTCTTCGATTCACCTCCACTGATCCATTTCATTTTGCTTAACAACTGCATAATGCGCACCCACATACTGCGCAGTCTGGCAACAGCCGCACGCGCATCCCCCTTCCGATCAATCCACATCCAATCCTCCTCATTAAGGCCATCCCGAGCAACATGCAGCGTACGATCTTCCTTATCCCTCCCCTCGCCGTTCTTTCTAACAACCTATCCTAGCAGAACCCGAACCCCCTCTCACAATCAGCTCTATCCCGACCATTCTCCCGCTCCACTCCCGTCTCGTCATCCCCGTTCCGCCTCACGTCGAAACCCGACACCGACCACACAATCCCCCCCGAACCACCCCTCGACGGCGAACCGGCCCCCTACTACAGCCCCTACAAGCCAAAGCGCCAATGGCCCCCGGATATGTCCAAGCTTTCCCCGAAACACCAGTTCCGGCTCGAGCGCAAGTACCGACGGCGCGCCGCGCTCAAGTTCGCTCGGCCTAAGTGGGTCAAGGCGACCAAGTTGCTTCAATGGGGGGTAATCGGATGTAGGTTTCCTGTCTTGGTCCGGCGAAAGGATAGAAAGGATAGAAATGATAGGCGCTAATGGGTTTTGTCTCCTGTAGTTGTTTTGATATATGCTTTGCTGTTTATGGAGTGGGATGAGAGGGGAAGTCCGTTCGATGAGGTAGGCGCTTCCCCTGATATACTGCTGAGAGGTGTCGCTAACCTACTTGATCTACACAAACAGATTCGACGGGCGTTCTTTTCCGGCGTCAAGGATACATTCTCTACTCCGCCGCCTCCACGCCCTGTCAGGAGAGCTGACGATACTGCTCAGGAGTAGACATCATCCATAGAAGATCAGTTGGCAGTCTCGCTTGTCCCAAGTCGATAATCAATCTAGTGCTGCTGTATATAATAATTGTACCATATGTATGAATCAATGTACTATCTTCAAATGCTACCAAAGCAGGGCAACTCCCTACCTGACAAGCTTGAAACCTCCGCTATACTGCTCGCTGACTTGGTCATTGTCAATCTGAACTACGAGTTGCATGTCCAAAAGAAAACAAATTCATAAGAGTTCACTGCCGTCTGAAAATGTGTTTGAATAGGAGAAAGGAGAAATCTCATCATGTTGGCCCTGTTGCTTCATTAAAAGTCGTGTCGCCATGGCCGTAGTTCAGCTGACAGATGCGCCCAAAACACCAAAGAAATGCCAACGCCGTTCAGTATCCAATTACTCCAATAAGACAAAGTCAGCAAGCCCTGATGAAAGTGAACGAGTGACGGAAGTGCTCATGAGAGGGGGAAAGAAAACAAAAAGGCAGCAGAGAGTAACAGCAACAGAAAAGCAGGACCTAGAACGCCGGGTCATGATCGCATGATGGAGTTGACTTTGCAAAGAAAGTCGATGAGTTATTGAATCAAGACATCAAAACTCGTGAAAGCAGATTCGCCACAAATATGAATTGGCATGCTGTACCACCAAACAAGCTCGTCACAGCCAATTGCCCAGGCCATCCCCCTTCTGAGAAACTTGATTGTTGGAAGGTAGGTCCAGTGCAAGCTCCAACCTGGGAGGCTTTTCGTCAAGGATACCCTTCTTAGGGCTACCACCTCCGGCCTTGACTGGGGACTTAACAGGAGATCCAGGTTCTGGTCGAGGCGGACCCTCCCGAACGAATGTGTACGGCCACCCGTCCTCGACAGCAGCTGCAGTCCATGTCCGGAGACAATCGTGGACGGAGGAGTAAAATTTCTCCTTGCATGTTCTCAGACTACCGCCCATTACCTTCTCAAACCCGGAAGCGCGGAGTTCTGAACGCAACTTGTTGCGTTCTTCGACAGACGGCATACATGCAATGAGGCCGTTCATGAGGTCAAGATGCGCTGCGAGATAGTTGGTGGCATCCCATTCAACCCCACCTACATACGGCGCAGCGGGCACAGGCGGTCTAGGTGCCGGAAAATGACGCTCTCGGAACGTCTGTTGCTCCAGTTCTGATGGCGATTTGTCGGACTTGACGATGGGTATGACATTGAGATGATGAAGGAAAATCCAAAACACCTCTTTGGTTACATTGCTGACTTCCTTACACCACACTCGATAAGGGCGAGACTGGTAGATATTGGCAATGAACGAGAGGGGTTGGCTTTCTTCCGGGGGACTTGGATCCTGCAAGTAGGAAAGGATCCGTGAGGCACATGCTGTTGCCATCTCGTCGGAGGAGGCTGTAGCAAGCTGAGTAAAAAAGAGGTTCATGATGATGCTACGAGTGGTGTATTCGCTCGGTCCTTTCTTTTCCTCATCGAACAGCATCTTCAACAATGCTGGGAATAGTTCGGCTTCAATTTTGGTCAGGTGCTTCAATGCGACAGAAGTTGTGCAAAGAGCCTTCAGGCACAAAAGGGTTTCATGAAGCAAGGTGTCCTCATGCTCCTCCCTAACGAAAATATCAGTATTTGTGCATAAAGCCATTAGACTGGGCCACAAAAGACGTACCGCCATTCAACTTTCATTATCCTGTAAAGCAACTGGACAATTTCGTCCATACCGCCATCGGTAATGAACGTATCAACCCAGTTGACGGTCTCATTGCGCAATAGGATACGAAGCTTGTGTATCTTACCAATCTCGATCATCTCGGGCTTTTGTATCTCGCGTAGATAGTGGACAAAGTCCGATGGATCGGCAGCAGTGTCGCGACTGGCTGTAGCGGAGAGAGAGACGGTGGACGTCGCTGGTGTCAGGATTTTTGAGAGACTCGCCGGTTGGGACAAATCAGCAGACTTTGGACGCCGATAGAAGCTTCCGCTTTCAGGCCGCTGCTTTTTCCCAGGTGAGGAGCCACCTTTAGAAAAGGTAAATCCGCGACTCCTGGACCTCGATCGGGACCCTTTTCCGTCATGACTCTGTCGCTCATCCTTCGACTCGCTTTTGCGACCTCGGCGACCAGTGCTATCATTGGCCGAGGAAGGAGCAGCGCTCTGTGGGGTGTTGTTCTCTGCTCTATCCTTTTGAATAAAGTCAGCCTTGATGCTAGTGTCCAATGCCCTCATCTTGTCCCTCATATTGTGGGGAATGTTCCGCGCATCCTATGTCACTAGTCAGCATGTGCGTGCCGGACGAAAGTAGTTCTTCTTCATTAGGCAACTGACAAGGAGCTTTTCGAATTCGCTTTCCAGGTCCTTCGGGTTCAAGCGTCGTTGTACCTCTGCTTCTTTCCCCTTCGCGTTGAAGGCAGAGATTGCCGCCTGCACGCGTGATGGTTTCTTCGGGCTCTCAGGCTCTGGGTGCGATTCGGACCTTGACATACGAGGCCTTCCTTGGCCTCGCTGGGACTCAGTCTCAGGCTGATCAACCGCAATTGGTTTGTCGGACGGCACTGTTTGGATGCTACCCAGTGCCTCCCTTAACTTTCGATTCCCGGAAAGATTATCAGATTTCGGACGGGGCTTGGCATCAGAGCGATTAGCGAGAGAGGGCTGATGGTAATCATAAAAATTTCGCTGTTGCGCTGGGCCATAGCCTTTGGGTGTGTACAGCGAGACTTCTTCTTGAAATGTTCGGCGCTTATTTGGGGACTGCGGCACTTCAGTCTGGTGGAAGGAGTGGGACCCGTACGGGTTCCAGACAGGAGATGGCATGCTGTCCACCAGATCTGAGGGGCTTCGATTTTCTTTGTCCCGGACGTCTTTTGATCCTTCTGCCTTCCTTCCCCGCTGTGATCGTTTCAGGATGGCACTGAGGCTGTTTGCCGACTTTGCCTTCTTAGGCTTCCAACTCAACGACTCGTCCTCCTGCGCACCACCGGCCTTATTTTCCTTGCGTTCCATATAGTTTCTCAACGACTTCAGTGACACGGCACTCTTCGTCTTCTTGTGCAAGCCCCCTTTTCCTGTCTTTTCGGGCGGCTTCTGCTGGAATGAAGTGCCATCTGCCGCGTCACGGTTGTGGGCTCTTTCGCCCAGCGGATGTTGGTTTAGAGCAGGATAGGCCTGGTCGGCTGGTGACCAAGATGCGCTTTCCGCCGGTGTGGACCTGGGGAAAAACTTTGGAGGGATAGCATCGTCCGCAGATTGGTTTCGTCTATGAGCTTTGGAGAGAATCGCTCGGAACCCAAGTTTGGTAGGAGTTCGGGTGGCATCATCGAAGATCTCCGGGGGGTGCATGTTGGGAGCCATTTCTATCGCCTTTGGCCAGAAACTAACCGAAGCATAACGACAGCCGTCAGTGATGTTGCAAATAAAAATTATGCAAAAGCGAACCTCTACGGGTAGACATCAGTAAACTTACGGTGAGAAGATGCTCCGATCGCAGGTGAGAAGAAGTAATGTAACAAATCAAATGGCAAGTTGGACAAGAAAGCACCAGACAGAGCAAGAACGACAAAATCACAAATTGCAAGCAAGCAAAAAGGCACAGCAAGATGGAAAAAAACAAGACATTGGCGAGCAGGTAGTATCTGCTTGAAGTCGGGACTCGACGGGGGCAGACAGCAGGAAGTAATAAAAAGCCGGCGACATCAAAGGAACAGCGAGACCCAGCACGGCACAGCGAATGATCACCAGGTGGATAGTCCGGAAGTGAGAAGAGTCTCGGATGAGTCGAAAAAGATGACCAACAAGCGCATGCAGCATTCATCCACCAACTTTATCCACCAACGCCGTTGCACAGTGGCTGGAATCGAGGATGGTGGAGGGAGTAAACAGAGAGTGGCAGTGAGGTTGCTGGGGGCAACGGTGAGGGGGGAAATACTTATCAATACGGAGTAGTCTATCTAGATACTCGACAAGCCAAGGTAGAATTGTGTCTAAACTATCTAAGTGATGATTGATGATGATCAATTATTGATCAATAATTGATTGTCTTAATCCCATACATCCACTGTCGTCACTTTATTATGATCGATCGATAAGTTAATCCATTTGGTGACGGTATATTGAGACTGGTGATATCCTACTGCGTCATCACCACTATGATGTTCAAGCGTTCTTTGACCTCATCACCAATCCCCGTCAGAAGTCTCAATGTTCCAGATTTCGATGTCAATTCTTGACTCATTTGCAGTTCTAAATCACAACGCGTAAGGAGATAGATAGGAGACGGTACTCCGTAGATACCACGCAATTTAGAAAAACCACATGCGGACGCCAAGGCAAGGCTTCATCGGTGCGATCTTCTGGTTCGCGGGGGTGCCCAATGGTGGTAGATCCCTTACTACTACTATTTCTTCCCCTCATCATAGTCAATAATCTTCGTTATCTTCTACATATGTACCTTCGATTTATCTATTGTACAACAACTAAGTGCAGTCGGTTCAGTCTTCCGCATATTTGATCGATTTTGCTTTGTCGCATTGGGCCTCATGGCTTCTCTGCTTGATCTTAACCTTATTATTCCTAGTATGGAACTGACGGACCTCACGAAAAATTCTGATGCAAAGGCTAGGCCACCATGCCGTCATCGTTGACCTTACCTTACGCCGTAGTTTTATCAATCGTTTTTGTGTCGAGAAATTCCAAATTCTTCGCTGTATCCTACCGGTCGCTCTGGTCATTTCTATGCGTCGACCTGGTGGATCTAGGAGATTGATGCGCATTTGTCTACAGCGAACAAGCGCAATCGGGCAGTTTCGGGCCTTCTTCCCCGCAGGTCCTCAGCTTTGTTCCGACGCATAATCGACAATTCTAGATTCGTCTATGAGATATTTATCTCTTTCGACATCCAAGCACGAGCATCAATCATACTTACCACGGCCCAGCGATGAATTGCCCGTCACGAACCGACGACACTCTTGAGCATCCGGGCTGGAACCAGAATCCTCCCGCGTTGAATGC